CAAACCATAGGAGTAATGCTTCCAGACCTAGTTTACAACAATGAATTCTTACATATGGCACCAAAAGCATGAGCAACAAAAGACAAAATAGGTAAATTGGACTTCATCAAAATTTAAAACTTTTATGCATCTAAGGACGTTATCAACAAAGAGACAGCCTATAGAATGGGAGAAAACATTTGAGAACCATGTATCTGATAAAAGTTTAATATCCATAATATATAAAGAACTACTACAACTCAACAACAACAAAAAAGACAAACAACCCAAATAAACAGGCAAAGGACTTGAATAGACATTTCACCAAAGAAAATAGACAAAGACCAGTAAGCACGTGAGAAACGCTCAGTGTCATTAGTTACTGTTGTTAGTAGCTGCCGCTAGTTGGCCATCAACTCATGGCAGCACCATGTACAATGGGATCAGACTTTTGTGATCTGTAGGGCTTTCATTGCTGGGCCTTTTTCCCTAGTCTGTCTTAGTCTGGAAGCTCCACTGAAACCAGTTCAGCATCATAGCAACATGCAAGCCTCCACTGATGGACAAGTGGCTGCATTTAAGGTGCATTGGCCAGGAATCGAACCTGGGTCTCCCACATGGAAGGCAACAAGTTTCCCACTGAACTACCACTGCCCTCCAGTAGTCATTAGCGGAATGAAGATCAGAACCACAATGAGATACCACTTCACCCCTACTAAGATAACTATTATCAGAAAAACAGGAAATAACAAGTGTTGGCAAGGATGTTGGGAACGTAAAATGATGCAGCCATTGTGGAAAACAGTTTGGCGGGTCTTCAGAAAGTCAAACTAGAATTGCCTCTGATCCAGCAATTGCACTCCCAGGTGTATACCCAAAGAATTGAAAGCAGGGACTCAAGCAGATACCTGTACACCATTGTTCATTGCAGTGTTATTCATAATAGCCCAAAGGTGGAAACAATCCAAGTACTCATCAGCAGGTGAATGGATAAACAAAATGTGGTGTATCCATATGATGGAATATTATTCGGTCATAAAGAAATATGAAGTTCTGATAACATGTTGCCCTATGAATGAACCTTGAAAACATTATGCTGAGGGAAATAAACCAAACTCAGAAGGACAGATATTGTATGATACCATTTATATGAAATATCAAGAATAGGCAAATGCATAGAGACCAGAGTTTATTAATGGTTACCAAGGATGGTGGGTGAAGAAGTAGGGAGGTATTGCTCAAGGGGTACTGAGTTTCTATTAAAGATGATGCAAAAAATTGGAAACATAGTGGTATTGGTTGCACGGTATGGCGAATGTAATTAATGTCACTGAATTGTACACGTGGAAGTAGTTGAAATGGTAAATGTTATATATTTTTTACCACAGTAAAAAAAAAGAGAATGGGTAAGTGCTGTTCTTTTTTTTTTTTCCCCTTCAGTTTTTTGTTTGTTGTTATGCAATCAGTTGAGTTCCTCGGCATCTTTTTTCTAAGGTCTAAATTGCACCTGTGGGACTGAGATCCTGGCAGGCCTGAGGCATAGAAAATTAAAGAAAGGAAAGAAAGAGAAAACAGTCTAGAGCACTGGTTCAAAAAGTGTGATTCCCCAGACCAGCAGCATCAGCACCACCTAAGAACTTGTTAGAAATGGAAATTCTTGCGCTGCACCCTAGACCTATTCAATCAGGAACTAGTAGTGTAGCCCAGAAGTCTGTGTTTTAATAAGCCCCCCAGGTGAAGTTTGAGAACCCCTTATCTTGACAGTAAAAAGGGAAAGAAGAAAAAAGCATATGTAGTGTTGAATAATGGAATGTCACAGACTTTTGCCTCAGTTCTTCATTGATACCAGTACCATGTCATGTGTTCTAAGCCCATTCTTAGTTCACATTGTTCTTTCTACCCCTTCAAAAATGGCATTGTCTGAATAGTCAGATCCTGCTTAGTTTTTTCCTACCAGGACTAAAATTACAAAGCTGATCTTCCTTGCGCTTAGCTCGTATTTCTGAATTCTTTTCATTTTCTTGGTTGTTTCTAATACACAGTGGTCAGTGTCCTCATGTTGCTAACTTTTTCTACTACTGCATCTTTCTACACCTAAACCTTGGACCCCTTATTGCATCCTCTGAGTAATACCTAGCCACAGTGCATCTCATTGTAGGAATTATCTCAAGCACTTGGTAGATTGGAAAGGAGTTGACTTACCAGATTTAATTGATTATTGGTAAATGACAGGTTTATGTATATTTCTTTTTGTGTGTATGTATCCACGTCACTCAGAGTGAAGATATGGTGGATACTCCCTAAGGGAATGCAAGATCTGTGGCCTACAAATCAGGGCACATATTTGCTAATTCTAAATCCTGTTTGCTAGCGGTTGCTATAGCAGCATGTTGAGCCCTGGTTGATTTAGAAGCGTGTGAAAGGGAGGAGCAGGGACACTAGGACTGCTATTCCGTCTTCCCACACAAATAGCTAGACCTAACAGTGTTGGTGGAGCTGAAGTGGATTTTTTTTTTTTTTTTCTTTAACCATGTTTGATGGCCCTGGGAATGTTAGAACCCAGCATTTCTCCTTGTTTGTATAGGAACTTGACCTGCCGCTTAACTGACACTAATCATTGTCTCCTCCTTTGGCCACTAGAGGACCTCAGAGAGGACGCATAGTAGTTGTTTGGAATCTGAGCTTATTAGCCACACTACCTCCATAGTTCCTTCTTGGTGTAGAACTTACGTATACTGTACGTTTTCTTTGGCTAATACTGATTTTGCTGTTCTGAACTTCTTGTTTTTGAGGGTTTGGGATGTACAACATTTTGTAAATTTAAGTTTTGTTCCTTAAATAGACAGTATTCATTCAAATCAATGGCAGATAACAGAGCTAGTTGGGGGTGGGGGGGTACTTAAAATGCAACTGTTATTAATTCCGTGTCTCAATAATTAACATATCTCCCACTTAAGCTAATAATCAGTGAAACTAAGTTCTAATCACTGAAAAATGTACAAATTCAGGGACAATTCTGAGTAGTTTCAGGATAGCTGAATATCATTTTTGCTTCATATACTTGGTTCACATGTGTTTAATGAAGAGAATTCCATGATATTAATATAGATTCATACCTTTTACAGTTTTTTAAGAATTTTGTTAATTTTAAATCATTTAAAGACAGATATTTAGAAGTACTGTATAGCTTTCTGATACATAGCTTTTTCACTGAATCAATCTTTTTGGAATTTTAAAAAATAGTAACATCAAAATGTCTAAATATCTATACATTATTTAGTTTTTATATTCTTTTTCAATTATATGTGGCTTATCTTTCCAAATATTATCCCTTATTTTTGATAAAATGTCCGTTTTTCTAGTCAGAAGTGCCCTTCGTATTATATGCTTCAGAGAGCCTTAAAACTATGCACATCTTAGTTTATTCAGGTTCTGGTAACTTTTCCAAAGAATTGATAATATACAGACAAACCTTTATGCTCAAAGATGTTCATGGAACTATCCAGCAGAATGGCAATGGTTAATTGTCTTAGATTCATTACAGTGAACTATGATGTAGCCTTTAAAAACTCCTCATAGAATTTTTTAAAGTGCAGAAATATATGTACTAAATGAATAAAGCAGCATAGAAAATTTCATATGAATGCGTAATATGTATGGTGTATATTTTACATATATCGTATATAAAAACTAAACACATGTATAAAAATGTAGGAAATAAGCCAGAATTTTAATGGTAGTTGTATCCACATAGTAGTATTATGGATGATTTATTTCTTTTTATGCTTCATTTTCACGTTTTCTGTAATGAGTATATGTTACTTTTTTACTTAGAAAAATTATATAATTTAAAATAAATTATAATCTAAAATAAGAATTCATCAAGACACAAAGGATACCCAATATTTTATCTTCAGGTAATAAATGTAGAAATGATGCAATTGTTCTGTTTTCAGGAAGTACGTATTTGGAAGATTTCTTTATCATCCAAAACAAAAAACTTTTTTTTCCTCATTCTACGGGACTTGGGAAGGTAAAAACTATAACTTACTTTACATTCAGTCGAAAATCACGTGGAGCATGTATATGGTTGTCCCAGAGTAAACAGTATCTTATTTTTTATTTTTAGTTCAATGCTTGATCCCCACTCCCCACTGTCATCTCCACTTATTTCTTTCATAGGGACTTCTAGTTTTATATGATTTTGAAATCTAAACAATTCTTAATCCTAAATTGATTTCATATGAATGATACTTGGATTGATTCCAAGAAATTACTTTTTCCCCTTCATTTTGCCATTCAGTTGGGATGGAGCAACATCTGATTTAAGTTACTGTATGATAAAGTTAGATAAATCTAAGTTTGAGTCCTAGCCACAACAATTACTAGCTTTGAACTTTGAGTATGATATTTAGCCTCTCTAAACCTTTATTTCCTCTTTTGTAAAAATGGAATAACAGAATTATTATAAGGATCTTAGGAGATTAAACATGTACCTGTCACTACCTAGCACATAGTAAGTATTCAGTTATTGATAACTATTATTGTTACATTTTTCCTGTCTCTTTCCTTTTTTTTATTTAATCTCTTTCTTCTGTTACTGCTTTCCTCTGGGGGCAATGGTGGTTTAAGAATACAGTTCTCGCCTTCCTTGCAAGATACGAGATTCAGGTCCTGGCCATTGTACCTTACATATTGCTATGATGCTGAACAGATTTTAGTGGAGCTCCCAAACTAAGACAGACTAGGAAGGAAGGCCTGGCAGTCTCCTTCCAAAAATCAGCCAATGAAAACCCTGTGGATCATAACAGTCCAGTCTGTAACTGATCATGGGGATGGGTGCAGGACTGTGTAGCATTTTGCTCTCTTATGCATGGGGTCTCCATGAGTCAGGGACCAACTCAAAACCAGCTAACAACAACTGTCTTCTTCCTCAAGGACTATGTTTCTTAGATAATTTAAGACTGTTGGATGTGTTCATATTGCATAATTACCTTTATTTTTTTTATTTTTCCCAACAGGCAAAAAAGGAAGTAGAGATGAAAGGCCAGTGGGTAATGCCATCAAAATATAGTGAAGAAGGAGTTTATCACATTCAGTACAGTTTTATTAAAGAAGCGGAACGCCACTGCTTGTTACATAGCCCTATTCCTGTGACCTGCCCTGTAAGATTACTCCATGGCATGAAGGATGACATTGTACCTTGGCACACATCCATGCAGGTCGCTGACCTAGTAGTCAGCACAGATGTAGATGTTATCCTCCGAAAAGGTAGTGATCACCGAATGAAGGAAAAAGCAGACATTCAACTTATTGTTTATACTATTGATGACTTAATTGATAAGCTTGCAACTTCAGCTTGAATTATATTGTGACATAAAGATATACTTTATTGTGTAGTTGGTTAGAATCACATTTTTAGTTGGTATGTAAACTGATGTATTCAGAAGATTGGAAGAAAGATAGCAACTGAAAGGTGCTGGTAACTTTAGAAAGTTTTTTCCCTCTTACCTCTATTTTGTAATATCACATGAGCATTTATTTAATGATGTATTTGCACACAAATGGTACAAATTGTGAAGAAAGTACCAGCTGCTGTTTCAAAATTTCTCCTTCAATGCTTGATTCTTTTTTCATTATGTTTCCAATTTTTTAAATCAAGATACTTACCTTTCTTATGCTTATGCTAATTGTACCAACTCTTAATTGTGTCCTCTTCTGCTTAGAATTGTTTGATAAACTTTGAATTCTTCAGAGTTTTGTTGTTGTTTGGTACCACTATATATGGAAATTTGTAAAATTATTATGTCTGATTTTAAAATGAATTTCACAAAATGTAGCAGAAGTTTATTTAAATAAATTTGAATGATTAGAGAAATGTCTGAAGCATTATAAAGTTCAAAAAATAAAAATATTACTTTATAAATTATATACTGCATGTGATATTTGAACTTAAAATTAAGGTTTTATTTTTTTAAAGGCCCAAAACTTTTTACAATGATATAAAGGAGACAAATCATTTCTAAGGAGTCCTTGGGTGTTGTAATCAGTTAAAGCGCTCAGCTGCTAACTGAAAGGTTCGTGGTTCAGGTCCACCCAGAGGTGCTTTGGAAGAAAGACTTGGCAGTCTACTTCCAAAAAAGCAGCCATTGAAAACCCTATAGAGCACAGTTTTATTCTGACACACATGGGGTCACCATGAGTTGGAATTGACTCAACAGCAACTGGTTTCTGGTTTTATCATTTTTAAAATTTGTCTTATTTGTTATCTATATTGAAATGAGGCATTTTATCTTAATGATGGAAAATTTTTATATTCTGATTGGTAAAACAAAAAAGCAAATTGATCTTTACATATTATTGCCTACCTGCAGAAATACCACTTTTTTATTAATATATGCTCTAAGTGCAAATAGCTAAATGATTGCTACCTAAATAGCAGGGCATTCTGAAATGTGGAGAGTCAGTAATAAAATATGAAATGGAAATGTAAAGTTTTTTTTTTGAAATAACTAAAGTGTGGGCAGTAGTCAGCCTTGATATTATTGAATTGGTGTTTTTTAGCTATTACTTTCAGCTGGAATTTGTTTAGCCTGCTTAGATTATGTCTGTCAAAGTAAACGTGACTCCTACATATAAAATGAACACATGTCAAGGACTGACTTAACTCATTAATGAGTTAAATCAATGATGGTAAACCTGGTTCAGAGGAGAATTCAAGAAACTTGAGTATAGACATTGAAGAAAGAATGTTGAAATACAATTGCTAGGTTATATACTGTGCAGAAAAGAGTTTACATGGCAGGCCTGACTGCTCATCCTTAGAATGCCCTCCCTGCGTACAAGGTTGGCCTGTGGCTGGCATCTACGAACTTGTATTTCAGGAGGGTTCCTCCATTTCCAGAATGGATAGGAGCCAGTTTAAGCTCACTATGCCTAAATTATTTGTACACAAAATATGGTATATACTGAACACCTGATTTCTTTTTGGGACTCTGAAATATGTGTCAAATGTGCCTTTGTGACCAGCCCCCAATAAAAACCCTGGGTGCTAAGCCTCCAGTGAGCTTCTCTGTTTGGCAACATTTCACGTGTAGTGTCACAACTCATTGCTGGGGAAATGAATGGCGTTCTGTGTGACCACTGAGACAGGATTCTTGGAAGCTTCCACCTGGTTTCCCTGGACTTTGCACCTTTTCCTTTGCTGATTTTGCTTTGTATCCTTTCACCATTATAAATCATATTGTTGCTGTTAGGTGCCACTGAGTTGGATCCAACTCATAGTGACCCTGTGTACAACAGAATGAAACACTGCCCAGTCCCGCATCATCCACACAATTGTTGCTACGCTTGAGCCCATTGTTGGAGCCACTGTGTCAATCCATCTCATTGAGGGTCTTCCCCTTTTTCACTGACCGTCTGCTTTACCAAGCATGATGTCCTTCTCCAGGGACAGGTCCCTCCTGATAGCATGTCCAAAGTACATAAGATGAAGTCTTGCCATCCTTGCTTGTAAGAAGCATTCTGGCTGTACTTCTTCCAAGACAGATGTGTTCGTTCTTCTGGCAGTCCATGGTATATTCAATTTTCTTCATCAACACCATAATTCAAATGCATCGATTCTTTAGTCTTCCTTATTCACTCTCCAGCTTTCTCATGCATATGAGGCGATTGAAAATACCATGGCTTGGGTTAGGTGCATTCTTAGTCCTATAAGTGATATCTTTGCAGCAGATTTTCCTAATGTAATAGGTTGTTTGATTTCTTGACTGCTGCTTCCATGGACGTTGACTGTGGATCCAAGTAAAATGAAATCCTTGACAACTTCAGTCTTTTCTTCATTTATCATGATGTTACTTACTGGTCCAGTTGTGGCAATTTTTGTTCGCTTTATGTTGAAGTGGAATCCATACTGAAGGCTGTAGTCTTTGATCTTCATCAGTAAGTGCTTCAGTCCTCTTCACTTCTAGCAAGCAAGGTTGTGTCACCTGCATATCACAAGTTGTTAGAATCTTCCTCTAATCCTGATGCCACATTCTTCATATAGTCTTCATAGAGTCATACAGATTGAATAAGTATGGTGGAAGGATACAATCCTGACACACCTTTTCTGATTTTAAACCACTCAGTATTCCCTTGTTCTGTTTGAACAACTGGCTCTTGGTCTATATACAGGTTCCTCATGAGCACAATTAAGTGTTCTAGAATTCCCATTCTTTGCAATGTTATCCATAAGTTGATATTAGCCACACAATTGAATGCCTTTGCATAGTTAATAAAACACAGGTAAATACCTTTTTGGTATTCTTTGCTTTCAGCCAAGATCCATCTGACATCAGCAGTGATAATCCCTCATTCCACATCCTCTTCTGAATCGAGTTTGAATTTCTGGCAGTTCCCTGTCAGTATAGTGCTGCAACCATTTTTGAGTTACCTTTAGCAAAATTTTACTTACATGTGATATAATGATATTGTTTGATAATTTCCATTCTGTTGGATCACCTTTCTTTGGAATGGGCACAAATGTGGGTCTCTTCCAGTCGGTTGGCCAGGTAGCTATCTTCCAAATTTCTTGGCATAGACGAGTGAGCTCTTCCAGCTTTGCATCCGTTTGTTGAAACATCTCAACTGGTATTCCGTCAATTCCTGGAGCCTTGTTTTTCACCAGGGAGCCCTGGTAGTGCAGTGGTTAAGAGCTTGGCTGCTAACCAAAAGCTCGGCAGTTCAAATCCACCATGGTTGTATTTTTCAACTACTGATCCTTCTTTGTTTCCAACTTTTGAATTCCAATCACCAGTAATTATCAATGCATCTTGATTGCAAGTTTGATCAATTTCAGACTGCAGAAGTTGGTAAAAAATCTTACTTGTTCATCTTAGGCCTTACTGGTTGGTAGCTAAATTTGAATAACAGTAGTATTAACTGGTCTTCCTTGTAGGCATATGGATATTATCACCGACAGCGTTGTACTTCAGGATAGATCTCAAAATGTTCTTTTTGATGATGAATGTGACGCCATTCCTCTTCAATTTGTCATTCCTGGCATAGACTATATGATTGTCCGATTCAAAATAGCCAATACCATTCCATTTCGGTTCACTAATGCCTAGGATATTGATCTTTATGCGTTCCATTTAATTTTTGATGACTTCCAATTTTCCTACATACATTTCCTCTGTACATTCCACATTCTAATTATTAATGGATGTTTGTAGCTGTTTCTTCTCATTTTGAGTCATGCCACATCAGCAAATGAAGGTCCTAAAAGCTTGACTCTATCCATATCACTAAGGTTGACTCTACTTTGACGCTACTTCATCAGCTGACTTTTCAGTGCCTTCCAATCTGAGGGGATCATCTTGTGGCAGTATATCAGACAATGTTCTGGTGCTATTCATAAGCTTTTCAATGGCCAATTTTTTTTACAAGTAGATCACCTGGTCCTTCTTCCTAGTTGTCTTAGTCTGGAAACTCTGATGAAACCTGTCTACCACAGGTGACCCTGCTGGAGTTTGAACTGCTGATGTCATAACTTCCAGCATCAGAGCAACACACAAGCTACCACAGTACGACAAACTGACAGATGGCAGATGTTGTTGTTAGGTGCTGTCAAATCGATTTCACTCATAGAGACCTCATGTGACAGAGTATAACTGCCCCATATGATTTTCTAGGCTGTAATCTGGAGCATTTCTACTCTGTCCTATAGGGTCACTATGAGTCAGAATCCACTTGATGGAAATGGGTTAATCTTTACAGGAGCAGATTGCCAGATCTTTCTCCTGCAGAGCTGGTGGATGAATTGGAACCACTAACCTTTCAGTTAGCAGACAAGTGCATAAATCATAGCCTTAAGTGTGCTGAGTCCTGGCAAATCAACAAACCTCAGGTAGTCTCGGGGACCCCTGATACATATATAAAACTGGTTAATGTCCTATAGGGCAATAAAACTGCAATTTGTGGGATTACCTTTTATACCGGACAAAAATCATTTACTAATCAAAAATATATAAATCTGTGTGTACAGCACAGTGTCTGGTGCTGGAGTGAGTTGACTGGTGGCTACTATTTCATTCAAGAAATCAGTGGCCTATTCTGCTCAGACACTGCTATGCACAAGAATTAGAAAGATGAAGAGGAAAGGACCCCTGTCCATGAGAGTTTTCTGGGGCTAAACATAATAAATTTGTAGTATATCTACAGAGACAGTGTAGCATAATGGTTAATGGCAGAGATGCTGAAGCTTTGGCTTCCCAAGTACTAGCTCTGTAACTTAGCAATTTACTTAACCTTCCCAAGCTTCAGTCTCCTTATCTATAAAATAGACTAATATAAACCTACATAATAGGGTGTAAGGATTAAATAGGTTAAGAAGCACAACGCATTTACAGCAAAGTCTAAAGCATAGGAGGCACAACCTTTTAGCTTTTATTTTTGTGACATACAGAGCACAGTCCAGTGACAGACTGATGGACACAATCCATGAAGTGTAGGAAGTGGGGAAGGCTTCTAAAGCTGAACTGGATTTGATCTTCCTAACCTCAAGATTCCAAACTGAAATGTCAGTTTTATGGAATCCTTTCGAATGGTCAGGGGTTGAGAGAGAGAGAGAGAGAGAGACTTTCACAATCTAGAGTCAAGAGAAGCTGTGTAAATTATAATCTAGAGACAGGGCCAAGATGGCAGAGTAGTCAGACGCTTCCTGTGGTCCTTCTTACAACAAAGACCTGAAAAAACAAGTAAATCAATTATATATGACAATCTAGGAGCCCTGAACATCAAAGGCAAAGCTGAGGGATTGAACTGAGTGGCAGGGGAGGGAGAGATGGTTTAGAAGCAGTGAGGAGTTGCCAGATCTGACCTGGTGGGAGCTGGCACCCTT